TTAATAGGCAGGGAATTATTGTAAGTAGTCACTGTGAAGGCAAATTTTTCTCTAACCTGTTGCAAAGGTATAGAAAAAAAAAGGCCATCTTTTAAATCAATCACTATAACAGACCATCATGTAGGTAATAGAGAAGGCAAGAGAATTCCAGACTGTAAAGAGCACATTGGTTGAATCTCCTTATCAATAGCTCTTAGATCTGTTTCTCCATATTTCAGATTTTTTTAAATGACAAATACCAGAATTCCAAGGACTAGTCAACTCTTTAATATGTTGAGCATTTAGCTGCTCCCATATCAACTGTTCTAAGGCCTGTACTTTTTCTGATGTCAAAGGCCACTGTTCCACCCAGACAGGTTTGTCAGTTTACCATGTTAAAGGCAGGGCTGTTGGGTAGCTGAACCCAGATGGTTGTTGACTTTTCTTTCTAATTGCTTTTAGTATTTCCCCCAGAAACATATGTTAGTTTATTGTTTGTTTTTGAAATAAAAGAATGTTAATCCGGGTAGTCTACTGCTGTAACAAATCATGTTCACATAAATTCATTGCTACTGTAGACACATGTGCCTTCAATTCTCCATCCTGTCCTTCTGGCCCTATACATTTGACATGTCTCATGTTTTGTTTTACCTGAGATAAAGTTCAAATCCCCAAAAGGTGAACATTTACTTGAAGAGGCCACTTTGAATGCCCAAGTTTTGGTGTAATTATTGTTACATCTGCCCCTGTGTCTGCCAAACCCTCAATTAAAATGTCATTTATTTTAACTCTGGTCTTTGATCATTTATAGAAGTTCATCAAAATAGGGGCTGGAGAGATGGCTCAGTGGTTTAGAGCACCGACTGTTCTTCCAGAGGTCCTGAGTTCAATTTCCAGCAACCACATGGTGGCTTACAACCACCTTGAATGAGATTTGGTGCCCTCTTCTGGCATGCAGGCAGAAGACTGTATACATAATAAATAAATTAAATAAAATATTTCATCAAAATATTTGCTTTATGGTTTCTCATGAAATTTTTAAAAATCTTCTAAAGCTGTCCTGTCATTTAGAGCAGTATGATTTTGTATAATAGGCATTAAGTCTTTTAATTGTTCTGTGGAGGATTTTTCCCAATGCTAAAAAGAAATGATTGAACTAAATTTGACATGGGGGCCTGCAAGAGTCCCCCTGTGACATTTCCTGATGGCAAAGGCTTACCTTGCCAGTCCCTTGTTGATCTGCATTCATTAGTCCAACACTGAAATTTGTCACCCCTTCTGCATATTCAAGAATGCTGAGGCCTTAATATTTGGATTCTCTCTAGAAAAAAAATATTGTTCCTAGGAACACCTTGCCTACAGTCCCTTTTCAGATGACCTGATTTACCACAATTAAAACATCTAACCTTTGACTTTTATTAAAATGCTTAGAAGTCACTTCTCTTACGCAAGTATTATCATAAATGTGAGATCCAGTATCACATGTATTTCTAGTCCACTCATCTATGGGTACAAATCTTTTAAGGCCTGATCACCCTCTTACATTTTAAATTAGCATTTTCAAAACCAAAGATTCAATTAATATTCCTCTAACTTCTGGATCTGTTATTCTATTTTTAGCTGAAGTCAATCTTTGTAAAAAAAAAAAAATCAGTGAAGGTTTCTTTTGGGACATGTATAATTTTAGTAGATAGATCAGTCCTCTTTCCTGATTCTTCAGTCTTGTCCCAAGCATTCAAAGATGCTGTATGGCATAGGCCGAAGGTATGATCATCAAATGTAATCTGTCATTCCACATCAGCATAATGGCCCTCCCTCACCAAGGATTTGATCTTGGGAAAAAAAAATTTTTTTTCTTTTTTTTTTTCCAAGGCAGGTTTTCTCTGTGGCTTTGGAGGCTGTCCTGAAACTAGCTCTTGTAGATCAGGATGGTCCGAGCCTTTGCCTCCCAAGTTCTGGGATTAACGTTGTATGCCACCACCACCCGTCGATCATGGAAAATTTTATGACATCTAACCCTACCTCATTGTTCAATGGCACTCACTTTGTCTCTCCACCAGGTTCTCCATTGTAACTGAGGACCTCCTTTCAACACTGCTGTAACTAAATCTTTCCAGTCTTTATGGAATTATTTTTTCCAAGAGGCCCATGAATTTACCATCTGCTTCACAAAAGGTGAACGCATACCTATGAAACATTTGCATCTTTAAGTCTCTTCAAATCCAGTATTTCTATAGGATTCCTGTTTACTTCTGAATAGCCTTTGGGACAAATGTTGGTTTTCTAATAACCTCAGGACACTCCTTTTCAGCTTCATAAAGCAATGGTGTGATAATTTCTGTTCTAAATCTCCATGGTTATATGTGAATTTTTTCTTAGTTCCTTAGTTTGTCTTTCTAAGAATTTTATCTTGTCAGTTTTTCATATTTGGCACTGATATCAACCAACGTTTGGGGGAAATAAAATAAGACTTTGCTAAACTAGTAATGATTTTTTTAAAGATTTTATTTTATTTATTTGTTATGTATACAACATTATGCTTCCATGTATATCTGCACACCAGAAGAGGGCACCAGATCTCATTAGGGTTGGTTGTGAGCCACCATGGTTGCTGGGAATTGAACCCAGGACCTCTGGAAGAGCAGTCAGTGCTCTTAACCTCTGAGTCATCTCTCCAGCCCACTAGTAATGATTATTAATGGCATTATGTAAATCCCAGCTAAGTTAGGTATTCCTTCATTTAATTGTTCTATTTTTAACCCATCCACGTGGAATCATACAGAAACCTACCTCCTGTCATTGTAATATTGTTTCCCATTTTAACATGAGGAAAACAACCCTCGTTTTTTTTTTTTTTTAACTAATTCCTGCACTATAGAATTTCCAGTTGTCTCCACAAATCTGCTGATCATGCCAGTGAAGCATGAGACTGGCTATCACTGCATACACCGAACAGTTGGACAGAGAACAGTTGGGGCACAGCCTGGCTGAGGGTAGTTGGAGCTGCTCACATGTAGCTGTGAACCAAATGTGTGTGGAGCTTTTAACAACAGGAGAAACTTTAGCGGGTGTGGAGTTGGCCAACCTAGTGTGGCAGCAGCCCAATAAGGGGGTATGGGGAACCCTGAAATCCATGGGCAGGAGCCCCTTGGAGCTAGCCTCTCCACAGGAATATGTGGAAGAAGCATGTGAGGCAGAGTTCTGCTCCATTGCTTAAGTGAGCACCTTGAATGAGTCAAGGGAACCAGGCTCCTCAGCCTGAGAGGGTGTTGTCCTCAGTGCCATGCCCACTGTCAGCTCAGTTGGAGATATTCTGTGTTCCTCTACACAGTATGGATTGATTACCTTTCTGCTGCCTATCGCATTCTCCCACTACTGTGCTGTCCTTGTTAATATACTTCCTTTGCATGACCTGTCAGTTTATACATGACCTATTTGTAACACCACCTCTTCAATTACCAAAATTTCTGGTGTTTTGTGTCATAGATGGAGCTGGTTTAAACTTTTGATGTCCTGGCTCCACCTGCCGAATGCTGGCATGATACACCAGTGCCAGCACAGAAGGCTGGGAGTGTTCGTGTTAGGCTAACCATGTGCAGCTGAGAGAAGTGTGAACAATCCTAGGTGAGCCTTATTGAAATTTCTGATACCTGGTTACTGTCAATCAGGGTGTTTAATGTTGACCTGGATGGACTGGGCGTCATTTCAGGTGTGAGGCGGGGGAATCTCTCCATTAGACATTAATTATCTGTGTGTGCTAGAGACGCTGTGAATGGAAGAAGGAAAAGAAATAAAAAAGCAAGACATGACTGGCCCCTGGCTTAGGCACCAGATTGAAAAAAAAAGAAAAAGGCAGAAAAAGGACATAAAGGACAGGACTGCTCCTGGAAACAGTAGAGGAGGAAGGTGGTTGTTGATAAAAGGGAGAGACGGGGACATTTGGGAGAATCCAGAGTGGACATGAGCCTGACCCTTGTGAGAAGAGGGAGGGAGGGGATGGGAGAGGCAGACCAAGATGTCAGAAAGGTAAATAGTAGATTGGAAAAACAACAACAAAAACCAGGTCATCAGAAGGGTTGGATTACACAGGGAAGGGCCATTCAACCCAGGGCTGGAGAAGTTCAGGGTAGGGGGCAGGCATGGCAGTCACACCTGGTAACAAGTGGGGACTGAGGGAGGCAGGAGACCCTGGCAGTCAGCATCTGCTTTGATGTGGTAAAGCGGCCCCTCCGCCCCCGCCCGCCGTGCGCAGGAGGAGGGTGAGCAGAGCTCACCGCGCGGGCAGGGAAGGCGCAGGGACGCCTGAGTCGACCCCACGCTCTGTCGCCATCCGTGCAGCTCCGCAGCTCTGCTCTGCGGTGGAGTCGGGGCCTGGAATGCTCTCTGCGTCCCTCACAGCGGGGTCCCCAAGGGAGCGC